GGGCGGCAGGCAGGGGGCTGACAGCCTCAACCTGGCCACACAGGGGGGGTGGGACAGGGGCTTGCCTTGGCCCAAGCCCAACCCCACAGGGCTTGAGGTTTGTGAGTTTGGCAGCAGGGAAGGTTGCTGTATTAATTGCCATCAGTCCCCCGCTACCAAATTTTCCAACCTGCATTTGGCCCATGGGACAGAGATTGAGCACCCCTGTTTTAATCTACTAAAGTAGATTAGTTTAATCTACTTGCATCTGTATTCCTAGACACAGACCAAGACAAATCTCCCAATCGGATCATAGACAGACAGAGGAGGGACACCAGCCCAACAATTGTTAGTGCAGACTTAGTGAAGGGGCACTTGGAGGGGCTGGATGGGTTCAAATCAGCAGGCCCGGATGAACTTCATCCAAGGGTACTGAAGGAATTGGCCAGTGTCATAGCAGAGCCTCTGGGACGGCTGTTCAAGCACTCATTGTGCTCTGGTCAGGTCACAGAGTACTGGAAAAGGGCCGATGCGGTCCCTATTTTCAAGAAGGGGAGGAGGGAGGAACCAGGAAACTATAGGCCAGTTAGTCTTACCTCTATCCTTGGGAAAACTCTGGAAAAAATCATTAAGGATCACAAATGTGGGAGCCCAGCAGGGGAAATAATGCTGAAAGGAAAATCAGCATGGGTTCATTGCAGGTAGATCCTGCCTGACTAACCTTGTCTCTTTTTATGACCAGGTCACAAAATGCTTAGACGCAGGAGTCGAGGTAGATATCATCTACCTAGACTTTAAGAAGGCCTTTGATATGGCATTCTGCTCTCTTAAATAAACTGACAGGCTGTGATGCAGATGATTACATAGTCAGGTCGGTGGCAAACTGATTTAGGGGTCTCACCCAGAGAGTGGTGGTGGATTATCGACTTGGAAAGATGTGGGCAGTGGAGTCCCGCAAGGCTCGGTCCTTGGGCCAATGCTATTCAACGTCTTCATCAGTGCCTTGGATAAGGACATAGAGAGCACCTTGTCCAAATTCACAGATGATAACAAATTATGGGGCAAAGTTAACACACCAGAGGGTAGGGAACGGATCCAGGTGGATCTGGACAGGTTGCAAAAATCAGCAGTTCAACGAAGATAAGTGCAAAGTGCTACACTTGGGCAAAAAGAACCACCAACACACTCACAGGCTGGGGGATGACCTTCTCAGCAGCACAACAGTGGAAAGGGATCTTGGAGTCATAGTCAACTCCAAGATGAACATGAGTCGTCAATGTGACAAAGTGATCAACAAGGATAAGCGCACTTTATCATGCATTAGCAGATGCAGGTCGAACAGGTCCAGGGAGATGATGCTTCTCCTCTATGCGGCACTGGTCAGGCCACAATTGATGCACTGCGTCCAGTTTTGGGTGCCATGCTTCAAGAGGGATACAGACAACCTTCAGACAGTTCAGAGGAGGGCCACTCGTATGGTCAGAGGCCTGCAGGCAAGGCCCTACGAGGAGTACCTGAGGGACCTAGATCTCTTCAACCTTCACAAGAGAAGGCTGAGAGGTGATCTTGTGGCTCCCTATAAATTCATCAGGGGAGGGCAGCAGGGAATAGGAGATGCTCTATTTACTAGGGCACCCCCTGGAGTAACTAGGAACTATGGCCACAAATTGACAGAGGGCAGATTTAGGTTGAACATTAGAAAGAACTTCATGGGAAGGGTTACCAGAATCTGGAACGGGCTTTCATGGAAGGTGGTGCTCTCCCCTACCTTGGGGGTCTTCAAGAGGAGACTGGACAAGCACCTGGCTGCGGTTCTCTGACCCCAGCACTCTTTCCTGCCCAGGGCAGGGGGTCAGACTTGATGAACTACTGAGGTCCCTTCCGACCCCAACATCTATGAATCTATAAGGTAGAAGTGTGTCCGGACAGGAATATTTCATGTATACAAGACAGGAACTATATTGTTCTACATGGTTTATGAAACCCCTGACAGCAAAAAACTGTTCTTACACCATAAGGTTGGGTTCTATTCTTTTTGAACTTTTACCACAGCCAGGAACATTATGAAAATATCTAAAATCAATAGATTAAGCACAATGCTCAAAGATAGCAATTTCAACTTAAGAAACCTTTTCTTGTGGGAGAGTGTTAATTTTCACAATAACTCATCTGATGTCAATCAGCATATGAGGTAGCAATATTGCATATACAGATATAGCAGCTAACGTAACAGTGGTAAATGCTACACTCAAAGTCAGCAGCAAGCATGACCTCCTCTTGGATGTACATAAGTATGGCTGACAACACAAACTTGAATACCAGAGCAATTTTCCTATATTACCATATAAGTTTTGTGCGAGCAAGCACACTTGCTCAGATTCTGCAAGCAAACTGATTATCTAGATCATAAGAAACAGCTTCTCAGCAGATTTTGCTTTCATGGGCTCAGCACAGGGAAAAAGCCATGATATTATTATTGTATTAGTATGAAACTTCATTTGTGCACTCCATTACACTAGTTCTTCTACCATAACCCCCAGCTCCCCTAATCCACAATCCATTAACCATTGCTCCAAACAATTTCTCCCTATTGACTTTTCCTCAAGTATCATGCTCCATTCTAACAGCATCTCCCAGAACATTGGCTGAAATCTCACTATTCTCTCTGACAGGTACTCAACATTTTCTCTTCTCTCTGCAACTTTCACTGAAGCAAAAGGAAAAAGTTAGGGACAAGGGAAGATATTTCCAGATGCTTAATCTGCCCTCTTCCTCTGGGAGCTTGTCAAATGTCACAGACCTTAACAGGTTGTTAGGAAGATGGAGCATCTTCCCCAAAAAATAGAGCATGTTTTGCCAAAAGCTGCAATTCAGGCAGACCTGCTTTCCAAGCAGCTGTATTTCTGAACCTGAAAGGCGGTCACATCCTTTCCTCTGTAAGGTGGTGAAATGAGCCAGTCATAGGTGACTTTAGGTTTTAAGGTTTTGTGTGTGAATGCTTTATGACTCAGGCTGTCATAGTGATAAAGACAACTGGTCTTAAAGATTTCCAGTTCTAGACATTGCTCCAAAAAAACAAGGAGTAAAAAGTTAAGAGGATAAAAATGAATCCTAACAAGGGCAGATAATTTCCCCTTAAGGTGCAGAGTCAGGATTCTCCTGTGCCATTCACTGGGTCTATGGCTGTGCTTCATATTAGCACCCAAAGAGACTGATGCAACCAATGAACTTCTGAAGTTTAAGGATGCTGTACAGCTGTGTGTCTATTCTGCTAGAACAGTGACCATCTTTTGTCCTCAGCTACCTACACAAAGGGAAGCACAAATGACCTTTCCCTGAACATCCCAGCTCAGATCCATACATACCTTTGTAGGGATGACTTGGCAGTATTTTCCACTACACCTGGCACTGGCCTTTTTTAGTAAAGTAAACCATTATAGTACCAACAAAGTTATAAAAGCAGAACTTGTCACTTTTACCAGTATATTTAAGCCCTCTCTCATTTCCTCTGCTATACCAGATACATCCAGGACTTGGGATCCCCATTGAAAATTCAGCAATAGGCTAACACAGAAATTGAGAACAGCTACATGGCTTCTCAAACTTCTCTTCTTTCATGTGTACATAGAAATAGACCTCAAGTCCATTTTTATTCAAATAGAAGTGGCAGACCTATTTTTAGTAAAGGAAAAGTTTTACATTATCCTAAACATAATTCAGAAAGCAAGGGGGAGGGAGAAAGGGAGGGAACTTTGTGTTGGAGTACTTTACAGTTGCGACTTATTTCTAACATTCAAGCAAGGACTGATTTAGAAATGTCAAACATCTGTAGTTTTACAGAACAGCTGCACTATTTGAAGCAAAGATTTTTTTTTAAATCATAACAGTTACCTTCAACATCCAGATTAATGGTCCGTGAAACATTATAAAATTTTCCCATATGCATGTATGTTGTAAGGCACGTGTAGTTTCCTTTATCTTGTAGAGTTACGTTTTTAATAGTAAGATAGGGTTCACCCTTTAAAGGCTGAAATCGTGTATCTTCAAGTAATCCAGGCTTACATTCCTAAATAAAGCAAAATAATAATAAAAGACTATATTATAGTGCTAAATTACATAACATTGATAATTAAAGCATTTGCAAAACAAAAAACTGTAATCTTTTAACAGCATAAAACATATTTCCCCACCCCACCCAGATCAAAACTAAAATACATTTTTGATCACTGATTAGACACAAAGCTTTAGTCATGAAACACCGGCTTTAGTAGTGAAACACTGACTAGTTATTCTGTTTTTAAAACAGACATTGTCAAGTACTTCACTTTTTTGCCAAGAAGTTTTGGCTTTTGTTTGTTTGTTTGTTTGTTTAAATACCCCAGATGAATTTCCTTATCCCATTCTTCAATTTTTGATTCAGTTTAGGGAGATTTTATTAGATTGTAGGACCCCAAATGTCTTCTACCAACAGTAAGAGTGTAGAGTAGAATTCAGGCCTCCTGCATAAAACATTAATTCAAGAGCTTAAAAATGTTCCCTTTCCTCCAGGAAGCATAACATGTTCAGGCTCCTAAACAGTTTCATTATGTTCTATTAAAAATAAAATTTAAGGAGCTTTCCAATGAAAATTTCAAAAACATTTTTCCACAGGGCTCAAAGGAAAGGGCTGAGAGGTAGACTGAGTCAGAAGAATTATGGTCTCTGCTCAGGGGCAGATCCAGGATTTCCCAAAAAGCAGGTGTCAAAGCAGTAACCTGTGCTGCAGGGATGGCTGTACTCCTGCTCCCAGTTTCCTTCTCCCCCCACCAGTGAGGGTGCAGCAGGAGCCTTTAGGAACTTGTAAAACAGGTGAAAGTCTCTCCTTCCTTCCCCTTCATACTCAAAGGCATGCTCCCTCCGTTCTCCTCCTGCTCCACCACCTTCTCTGCTGTCCCAGGGGGAACAAGGAAAGCTCCAAAGCTGCTTCTGTTTGTCACTCCCATGCTGTGCTGGGCTCAGCTGGCAATGGAGATCTGAACAGCAGCCGTGGGGATGGGTGAGGGTGAGGTTTCTTTTTCCTGCACCTGCTCCCAGGGGACTGGTCAAGGAGAAGGAAACTTCTGGTCAAGGAGGAGGATGCTGTTGCTGCTGTCCCTATTCCCAGGGGAGTCCAGCCACATGCAGCCTAGCTGGGACAGGCAAAAGTAGCTATGGGCCCTTCCCCTGCCCCAGGACCAGCAGGGAAAATAGCAGCAGCAGGTGGAGGAGCAGGGGAAGGAGAGGGGACAGGAGGGAATTTTACTAGAGCACCTTATAAAGTAGTATTGTGATCTGCTTCTAAAGTAAGATGTTTCAGCATCAGAAATGTGTAATTGCACTGTAGATAAATTTGTAGATAAGAAATCAGTGATTGCATTGTAGATAAAAAGATACAAATGATTCACTACTTGCCATACAAGTGAATAATTTGTTTGAGTACGAAGAGGAAGGAAGGAGGGATTTTCATCTGATTTAGGGACTTGAAGCCTTCTACAGCATACAATGCATAGAGATACAATTTCTCCATCAAACTAGAGCTCACACTATATAAGATTGTAAAGATCCCCAACCTGAACTGCATCTAGAAGTGAATGGGAAGGGAGGGCAATCGTTGCAGCCTAAATATAGCATGCTCCTATAAGCCAACTCAGCTATGGCAATCAGACTACAACATGGTGATAGGTGTAGTTTTCAAGTTCTTCATGTACAGTGCAGTACAGTAATTTAAACCAATAAGAAATGCATGGATCACTGTAGCTACATACAGATTACCAGTAAGTGCGCTAAAAGGCAGAGGGACACTCAACTACAGAAGTCACACATTGGCAAAGTTCAGGCAAACCTTTTCCTTCCTATGACTAATACAGAAGAAGCCATCTCCTGAAGATGATTCCTGTGGGAAGCACTTCCACCTCATTTAGCCCAAGATTCAGTTTACTCTTATTTAAGGCTCTCTCCTTATTCAGACATACGAGCCTTCCTTTCCACAGCCACCAACGGACTCCTTGTAACAGAATTGTGTTTGTATGGCAAGCCAACCTTTCCCATGGAAAATTTAGCTAGCGTATAGCAGAATCTACCACCTTCCAAGTCTGTTTAACAAACAGACAATCCAACAAAATCCAATGAACTGGATTTTGTGTGAAACTGAACCTGCAGTAAAAGTGTAAAGTGTTAAAAGTGTTTATAAGCTTTTAGTAGATAGAGTATGTTCCTGAACAGACTTAAGATTTATAAGCCATAAAAATACATAGATGATGCACTACTTACCATACAACTGAATCATTTGTTTTTCATATAAAACTATGAAAAACAAATCATTCTATTCTATGATAAGTAGTGCATTATCTGTATATTTTTATCTACAGTGCAATCACACATTTCTTATCTACAAACCTACAGTGCAGTTTCAAATTTCTGATACTGAAACATCTTACTTTAGAAGCAGATCACAATGCTACTTTATAAGGTGCTCTGGTAAAAACAACCAAGTTGCTGGCAAGATATCTACTCCAGTTCCATGCATAGACTCACATACTTGCTTTTTCCCATTGCCATTCATAGGACACATCTACGCATACACTGAAAGTTACTGTGCAGTGTGGGCGCACATCTACACGTGTGCGCCTGTACTGTGCAATAACTATGGTGACTTATGCCGAATTGGGCGTAAATTTGCTACCTGCACAGTAAGGCACATGTAGACACCTTACTGATCAGTGACACTATGTATGCACTCCAACTTGGGAGTAACTTTACTCTCAAGTCAGAGTGCACACAGCATTACTGCGCTGTAATGTTAGACCGGCATCTACACACACAGACAACTGCTTACTGTGCAGTAACTTAGTGCACAGTAAACGCACGTGTAGACACACTCATAGTTACTTCTCTAAAAAAAAAAAAAAAAAAAAAAAAAAAAAAAAAAAAAAAAAAAAATGAACATGATGCAAAAATCCTCAAATTCAAATACAATACCTTATACCATTGTATTTCAGAAGCAGTGTTATTTTCATCTTTAAAATACTCCAGAAGAGGACATGTAATCTTTCCAGCGGTTAAGGTAAACACTTTCTGATCAAACCTTGTAGTTTCATTAAAGCATAAATCATTATCATTCTTGAAAACGCTTAGTTGTACATATTTTTTGTCAGAGCTGTTAGCTTTCCTGTAATAAGAAGAGCAGCAAAATTAGACCATAAATGGTATGACCTACATTCCCAGCAAAACAAATTAGTGTTACTAAGGTTCTGGATACTGTACTGGAAAAGTAGAAACCGAAGTCCAGCCAAAAGCAAAGCTTTTAAAAAACAAGTTTCTAGTTAGACTTTTAATGCTATATTTAAAACAATATTCGTAGCTGAAAAATCTGAGCCAAAGCCTACCACACAACTAATCAGTCTAAAAATTGCAATAACAAGCCCAGTCCCACAGTCTTTGTAATATCCTTCATCTAAGTGACTCAATATGTGGCCTCTTAAAGGCTTGAAAAATGCATTTGATAAAGCTAATTACATGACACACAGGCTTGATTTCTACTCAAAGTTACCGGCTTTCAGTCGGATAGTTTTTTAAAATGTATATTGTTTCAATATCACATCTAGTAAGACATGGAGAACTACCTCAGATAGGTACTTTAAAATGGTATTGCCGTGTTTATCCTCAACAAACATTTCAGTCTCCTTTTTAGTGGAATCAAACCAATGGATTCACCAAGGGCAAGTAATGCCTGACCAACTTGATTGACTTCTATGATGAGATGACTGGCTCTGTGGATACCTTTATTTTAGCAAGGCTTTTGATACAGGCTCACACAATATTCACATAAGCACGCTAAGGAATTAAGAATCATTACTATCCACCTTACAGATCATCCAAAATGGTCTATAAGGTGGATAGAAAACTGACTAGAGGATCAGCCTCAGAGGGTAATAATCAATGGCTCAATGTCTAGTTGGCAGCCAGTATCAAGTGGAAAGCCCCAGGGGTTGGTCCTGGGGCCACTTTTGTTCAGTATCTTCATCAACGACCTGGAAGATGGCAGAGTTCCTGGGGATTACAGTGGACAATAGGCTTAATATGAGCCCACAATGTGCCCTTGTTGCCAAGAAAGCTAACAGCATACTGGGCTGCATTGCTAGAAGTGTTGCCAGCAGATCAAGGGAAGTAATTATTCCCTTTTATTCAGTACCGTGTCCAGTTGTGGGCACCATGCTACAGAAAGGACGTGGACAAATTGGAGAGAATCCAACGGAGGACAACGGAAATGGTAGGGGGCTGGAGCACATGACCTATGCAGAAAGGCTGAGGGAACTGTGCTTATTTAGTCTGGGAGGGGATTTAATACCAGCTTTCAACTACCTGAAGTGGGGTTTGAAAGAGGATGGAGCTAGACTGTTCTTAGTGGTGGCAGATGACAGAACAAGGAACAACAGTCTCAAGTTGCAGCAAGGGAAGTTTAGGTTAGAAATTAGGAAGCATTTTCTCACTAGAAGGGTAGTAAAACACTGGAACAGGTTACCCAGAGAGATTGTGGACTCTCCATCCTTGGAAGTTTTTAAGACCTGGGTTGACAAAGCCTTGGATGATCTAGTTGGGGATGGTCCTGCTTTGAGCAGAGGGTTGAACTAGATGATCTCGTGAGGTCCCTTCCAACCTAATTTTCTATGATTCTATGATTCAATTAAAATGATGTTAATCTGTTATTCATAGCAGTTAATTGACCTCAATAAATAATTACAAAAACAGTCTTTTTAAAAGTAAATGTTACACTTTCCAAAATTAGCTTAATTTGCTAGTACTTATAAGGTACTTTAAGATGAAAAATTATCAAATATGATTTTACATCAAATACTACCAGTATGGAAGTAACAAGCAACAGAGGCTAGTATCAATAGGTAAAAATTGATAGCTGAAGAACTAATGCATCTCATATGAGTAATAATAGGAAAAAACATTTATGGTAGAGTAACATGAGAATACAGTATTGTACCATGTGCATTAATGATCAGTCTTTCTGTTTTTTAGGGCAATATCACATTTAGCAAACAGGACCTTACCTTATATTACATGCATAAAAACCTGAATCTTCTAAATTTGCAGGGATAAACCAAAGAAAGTTCTCTCGCTGATGAACTCTGGAATGCCTCTCTGTGCTTACTGGTATATCACTACCATTTCTATACCAAGTCAGATTGTAGTCAGTGTAAAATGTTGGACAGCTGATAGCAACAGGCTCTCCTTTGAGTACAAAATGACGACAGGTCTTGCATCCCTCTATTTAATAACAAAGAAAAATGGCAAAAACATTATCATGGTGAAAAATCTGTTTATGTTAATATTTTTAGAATGATATGCGACTGATAAGCTTTCCTTCAATGACAATGTAATCAGCAGTAAGTTTGCAAATGTATCTGCATGTAGTCATCATTTTCCATTTGAGGACTTCAACCCACCCCTACTTTAAACCATGCAAACATCTCTTAAAGGAGGTGACAATAAACCCTCATAAATTAGTCCCATACTCTCAATGTTGAGGGTAATATACAGAGATGCTTCTAATTCACTGGCCATCTCAACCTTCACAATCTATTTTTCTAGTCCTTTTTAATTCAAGAAAAACAACTCTTAGGATGCCTGTAAATCTGTGCCAGAGTAGACTCGATTAATTGAGTTCTAATTAGAACACTCCAGCAGCCCACCACTGGTGGTTGGCGCAATTTAAAGCTCGTTGAACAAGCTTTAGTAAAAGCCCCCCTGCCGCCAATTCGAAGTACAGGACGCTGAATACACAAGATGCTGTGCCTCCCAAGAGTGCTCCAATTAAAATGCGACCCCCATTCCATCCTGGAGCACGTATGTAGACCCCCTTAGTTCTCATGCAAGATACTAGACTGACAATGTAGAAACTGTCCTTCACAACTGCAGCACAGGCAGTGGAAGTACACAGTTCCCCCCTGCTGCCAGTCAGACACATTTCTGCATCTGAGAGGACAAAACAGGCGAGAGAGAACAGAAGAGTAGTCAGTTTTTGAAACTATAAGAACAAGATAATCCAACAAACAGAAGTCCCATAGTGAGTCAAAACAATGGTCCATCTAGCCCACTACCCACTACTCTGTCTCCAATTGCGGCATGTCATAGATGCTTTACAGGGCGAATATTCATAGCAGGTGTGTTTGGCCTTATCCATCCCCTGGCGTACCCTTCCTGATATCAACCAGAATTGGTTAGGGATATCAAAGGATCTACCTAGAACAGTCAGTGGATTTAATAGCTAGCAGTATACCTGTTCTCCATTAATCGGTCTAACCCCTTTTTGAACTTGGTTATATTATCTGAATATGACCTTCTGTGGCAGTGAGTTCCACAAGTCAACTACACACTGGCCACATACACAAAAGATGTTGACTGTGCAGTAGCCCAAGACTACTATTCAGTAGCGGTGTGTGGCAGACAATGCTACTGCGCAGCAGTCTCAGGCTATTGCACAGTCTGTCACAAAAAGGCTGTTTATTGGCACTACTGCACAGTAACTCAGGTTACTGCACAGTCATTTAATACTTGTTTATACAAGGTAATCACTAAAATTCACAGGAGAAAAGTTTAAAACAAACAAGAAAAGTACTTATTTGTTTTTCTTTTGACACAGTGGCCACATCTATACAAGACATTGACTCCACAGTCATTACTGAGTAGTCATTTAGTACTTGTTTATACCTGGTACGTATACTTGTTTATACAAGTACTGAATGGCTGCTCAGTAATGACTGTGCAGTCAGCGTCTCATGTAGACACAGACTGTGTAAAAAAAGAGAAGTACTTCTCTTGTTTGTTTTAACCTTTTCTCCTGTGAATTTTAGTGATTACCTCCTAGTTCTTGTATTCAGGGAACTAGACTAAACACAGATTCAATTAAATCCATGAACTTGTATATCTTTATATGATTCAAGCCAAGTCTGTAGTGAGTCACCATTTCAGGCGAAGAAGCTTTTGTTTTAGTCTTTGATGCATATTCTGCCTTTAGTTCTGCAAGTTGCCTCATCTCACCTGTACATCAAGATTTCCATTTAATATAGCAAATGTGAATATTACACAACAAACATAAGCCAGATGTTGGTTGGCTTGGTTCTGTAATAAGTTAAAGCACAAGTATGCAGTGCTTAAACAAAAGTGATAGACCATGCAAAGTCATACCCAGTGACTAAGAAATGCAGTTTACTACAATTATTTTAAAGAAGTCAGTTTATCATGATTAGATAAAACATGACACACCAGGTAGCTACAGAAAGGATCTCAAAGCTTTCAAGCTTCTCTATAAATTTGCAATCCTAAATTCCCATGAAACTCTACAAAACCTCAGTCTCAGACCAAGGTATACTAAATTCCTGCTACAGCCCAAACCGTTTGTTTTGTTTTTTAAAAGAAACCCATGTCTTTATTGATCTTCCACTTAACAACGTTTTCCTTTCTTCCAATTTAATTTTCTAAACACTACTGTAAGGAGAATTCCCCTGAAACACCTGGAAATATGTAACTAGCCATTAGATAACTTCATACAACAAGTAATCACCATAATAATATGGATAGAAAAAGAAAGTTCTGGTCACTGCCTTGGCATTCAGTGTTTCAAATTTTGGAACAGAAAAAGAAGCTTACAATGCCATCAGAGTGGTCCATGAACCATAAAATATTTATCATCTTTTGAGAAATCCATGTCCCTGCAGAATCCTTCAAATACCTTGGACTAATGGAAGATATTCCTTTACTCTGACAGGAATTAGGGAGGAATGTGATATAAACAGTCATTGTAATAAGATTATAAATGTAATACCTAACTCCAAATCTAAACAAGACTGCACTCTGCTAGACACTGTTTCCAATCAAGAATCAACTAGTAATAAGCAGAAAGCTATCAGTATTCATATCAGTATGACATCCCAACCCAGGACAAAAAGTACTGTTATCCATTAGGATTACACTGATCCACAGTGTACTGATAGGTACATCTAATATAAGTGTCAAACTCATCCAGCCCCCAGCCAGAAGAATGATGGGGGGCAGGTCCATAGGTCAGATCAGACCTGTGGACCCCCTCTCCCTGCATACCTGAACCAGCAGCTGCTTCAGGCAATGTAGAACCTGTGCTACATGTGGCACAGATCCCAGTGGCTACAACAGACTCTGTGCAACAGTCTGGCCAGAGCACTACATGCAGTGCCTGCTCCAACCAGTCCAGAACCCACACCGCACACGGTGCCTACAAAAACTATCTGCAGCACAGGTTTTGGACTGGCTGGAGCAGGTGCCAATGTGCAGCACACGTCCCAGAACAGGCTCCATGTGCAGCACAGTTGAGCCAGGCAGCCAAGACATGCTGCATGGTTTCTACTCTGGCCAGACTGTGGCACCTGTTCCATCCACTCTGGGATCTTCACTGGACAGCGCAGATGCCAGAATGACTGGAGCAGTCACCAGATCTGGTATGCTGAGGGGAGGGGTAGGAGGTGGGGAGTGGAGGGAAGAGAGAAAAAGTTAACAGGCCAGATCTGGCCTGCGGACCAGTCCCACACTACAGGCACACGCTGTGCCCCACGTGGGGCTGATCAAACTCAGGAGCAGCACCAGGAATCAGTGGTGGAGCTCCATGAGCCAGATCTGGCCCACAGGTCATATATATTTGACACCCCTGATCTCCTGTTGGCTCATTATCAATGTGCTATTATCAAGGAGGGCCATGTAAATTTAGAAATGCACACTTCTAGGAAACAATTAATACATTTTAAAAAACGGTTCCCTCCATATTTGTGAAATTCCCTCCATTTTATTTATAAAACTATCCTATCACACATCAGTCTGTCCATTCCATCTCTAACATTTCTATATCTTGTTGGATAAAAAGACAACATTCTCTGTTGTGTCACCACTTAACTCATTTTCATCACAAACAACACATGCACACACGCTAATCACACTAATTTTAGGCATTAATCAATTATTAAGAAACATGTTTAACTTACCAGTTGAGTATGGAGAAACAAACAGCATTAGATAGCAGATGAACCACAAAAGAGATTTCATGTTTTGCTACAGAGGGAAAAAAATTCCATTAATATGTTAGTTAAAAATGTCCTGGCTGCACTATCACTTTTATACCTCACTGTACCCATTATGTGGAAAAATGAGTGTGATGTGGCCCTTCCTGGCACACACAAGTCACAGTATTAACTGGTCCACATAGAGAGCTCGGTCTACGCTTTGTACCAACATTATATCAGTATTGGTTATGACTCTTTGCTGGTAAAAGCATTTTCATAAGTGCATTTATACTGATACATCTTATTTCAGATTCCATGTTGAAGCAAGGCATGGCAGCATACACGCTTTTGTAAAACAGAAAAATGCTCTGAGTGTATAACTATGCTAGTGTATTTAAAGCAGCAAAGGTTTTAAGAGCAGACAATCCTGTTCTTCTCCGTTAGAAAATTATTGCAATGGACATCTGAAGTGAAGGGGAATGTGCCTCTATTTGTTTTCAGTTATAAATATTCAGGACTAAATATTCCAGAAGGTGGCAGGCAAGTTATCATATAGTAGTAATCATGATGCGTTTTAGTTGTGTAACGCTGAATATCTAGAGTCAATGTGTATTACAAATCTGTTTGGCGCCTCTTTTTTGCATATCAAGTTTAAAAAAAAATCTTCAAAGGTTTTTAGTCACTGTGTGGTCTTTCTGTTAGTTACACAATACCCATTTCAAAACATTGCATCACATTACACAGGACTGATGTCCTCTTCAATAAAATACAAGACACACGAAGGCGTATAAAACAGAATACTTCAAACAGCCTGTTTGGTCTATTCCAAGCATATCGGCTGAGACTTCAAACAGCTCGTATGCTGGGTTCTACGTTGAGAGGACCTAAATGTTTTTAATATCCACGCTCTCAGAATCTGCCAAAGATGAATGTTCCCGTTTATTTATAAGATTAGCATGGATTACCATTTTCAGTTAATAGAAGGAGTTTCTTACGTAGGTTTCCCAGAAGAAGATACTGCAGATGCTTGTCCACTAGGCCAGAAAACAACCTTTTAAATTGAGGGGAGGGGTTCTGTTTATTTTTAAATAAAACTGCGTAAGTACTGAACAAATGTTTGTGCAGTGTTAATAATTAACCAAAACAAATTAACTGTTTATGTATCCGAGTGAGATTTTCTAGCAGATTTGACCAAAAAAACAAAAACAAAAAACCACGGTTGGGGAAAAAGGAGAAGTTCTGAGCATTCGATGATCTGAGCTCTAGCTCACAAAATCGTATACATCGCTGATTCAGTTAATCTATAAGGTGCATCTCTACTCTGCCTTCAGCCTGAGAAATGGATGGTACAACATAAATTCTAGGGTTTATTGAACAAAATTTGGAGGCTTTACTCCAGATTATAACAAGCTTCAAGTATGCATTCCCTTTAGATGTTACTTAATAAAGGACTCTTACCTTAGTCTTCATTTAGCTGCCATACATATATTTTTGCTGACATTTGCCAATGAGTTGGTCGTCATTCTTGGAATTTCGACTTATCTGACAAAAAAAAAAAAAAAAAGCCTTATAAAAACCTCAAATGCATCATGTACACAAGAACCCCCTCCAAATCACCAAGGGCAAATTTCCACAGATATCCTAAATATAAACAGGAAGAAAATGTCTTTGCGAGATACAGCTTTTAAAAATTGGTAATGCTCAACCTCTGGCTCATAGAGCAGTGATACCCAGTCTGCAGGGCTCTCCACAAGTCTGGAAATTTGGCATCAAAGGAGCGGTGGCAGTGTTAATTGCCACTCCCCTACTGCCAAATTTCCAGACCCCTGGGAAGCCCCATGGGCCAAATGATGTAGCCCCACACACTAGATTATCAGTCTACAGCTAGATCCAGCATTCAGGATTGAGCCACTGTACAGGATCTGGCCCATGGACCAGCCCATACCACTCATGCAGCCCATGGGGCAGAAGATTGAGCACCACTGCTTTAAATGGAAAGGTGAGGGTAAAATTAGGCCAGATGTCTTTAACAAGACCCTCCCACCCTGCACAGCAGATACGGTCTGCGGATCAGCAGAATGGTAAAGCAGGCAAGCACGGGATGGGTTAAGGGTTCCCCCTGCCACTGCAAGAGTGCTATCAGGTGCTACCAGGAGTATAAGGGTCAAGGAGAGAAATTCTCCTTGGCCCTGCAGCCCTTAGACAGTGCCCTCACTGTCCTTTTCATTTGCTGCTTTTCAGCAGCTGCCAACTGCTCATTGACATCCTGCCCTCTTCCCCAGCAAGGGAGATGGCAAGTCATCAATCACTGAGCTCCCTACAAGCAAAGAGACCCAAGAAGCAGCCCTCCTGTGCCCCTCTGGTATAGCTCTCCAAGCAGGGGGCCAGAACAGCTGTATCCTGACCTATTTTTCCAGGACTAAGAATTTCCCAGGAAATCTTAGTGCTGGAAATTAACTGTCCACAGCAAGAGAAAGACATTAGCAACCATCTTAATTGTAAAGATTTCTTTATACCTCCACTTTTGACCTGAAAAGTTGTTCTGGTCCAAAGTTTGCTATATGCTGGATGCAAGTAATCATGAAAATATTTTTTTTTTCAAACTATTCTTGAGCTACTGGTTATTTTTAAAATTCTCACTGATTTTCAGTTTAAAAATATTTGTAACAAGCTGACCTTTGAACTAGAAGCAAACTACTCCCTTCAAGCTTCCTAAAGTTAATGCTATGAAAAAACAGCATTAACTGAATTTGAAGATTACTGACTCTCTGTTCTGCATAATTTGCACCCCCACCACTCCTGACCATATTTACATCCTGGGTATGAATACTGGTGTCATGGGTTCCAACAAGAACAGGAACAGGCACCATATTTGTCCAACTGCCATCCTTGATGGGATGCAGGATTAAAAATAAATAAATAAATAAATATATAAATGACCTTTCAGTAGTTCACAGGTTACTAAACCCTTCCTTCAGTTTAAATAGCAACTACCTCATCATCCTACAGACCTGCAGTTTTCAATTTTTTTAAAAAAGGAAAAATTTACTGAGTTAATAAGTAATCAATCTATCGTTAGAGTCTACCACGTGAACAAAGGGTGACAGGTAAGCTCTGTGCATTAGTTGGAAAAAACACTAAAAAATTAAAATTAATTGTAGCCAACTCAATGATGCGTGTTTGAGCCTGAAACAGCAGCTATTATGACGCAAAACCAGCTGGCCTACATAAAAGGGAAAAAAAAGAAAAATCACTAAAATTCAACTAAATGTTAATAATCAATTTAGTTAAAATAGTGCGAAAGACTGCATAGGCATTTTATGTTAGCTTAAACAAGGGTTTCTTTTCATTTTAGCCTTGGATCAAGGGTGTCAAACTCCTCTGGCCCCCCAAGCCAAAGGAGTGGTATGGGACTGGTCCACAGATGGATGAATGGTGAGAAGCCAGCCCCACTGGTGGGACCAGCCCCACAGAACCCTGCTCCGCCATGCCAGATTCAGAGCCTGCAGTGCCTACTCCAGCTAGCATGGGACTCAGCGGGAAGAAGCTTTATATCCCAGGCACTTGGCCACTGCCACAGGAACAATGCCAGGATGCTTCCCACAGTGCTGCTAGGGCTCCAGCTCCACTGCTCTTCCCTGGTTGTTTGGCTGGAGAGGGCAGCAGCACAGGAGCCCCAGCAGCACTGTGGCTTCTTCCCATGATGGCAGCCAAAAGCCTGGACAAGAGCAGCAGTGCTAGAGCCACTGCAAACCATGGGAAGAAGCCTGATACTGCAGCTTGCTCCCACTGTGGCAGCAGCCACATGCCCATAAAAAAGCTGCATGCTGAATCCCCAGTCATACCATGGGAAGAAATCTGCCACTGCAGGAACAAACTGTGGTGCCAGGCATCTTCCCATGCCACTGCTGGGCCTCCAACACCGCAGGTCTTACCCAGGCACCTGGCTGCTCCTGCAGGCCCCCACCACAGCCAGTCAGGGTAAAAGTCTGCAGACTGGATGACCTAGCTCTATAGGCTGGATCCAACCTGCAGGCTGTATATGTTTGTCAGCTCTGCCCTAGATAATTAAAGTTAAAGCTAAGCAAGCCATTCAAACCAAAAGAAGTGTCCGCACACAGGCAAGCAGTAGTTTAACAAATCTAAGAAATCAAATTCAGCTTTCTGTAGATAAGCCCTAAGCTTCTCCAAATCTACATACAATGGGTGTGGCTAAATCAGAAGCCACAAGAGATTATTTCACCATTTGGGAAATGATGCAAGTGAAACCCTGCTTATGTTATGCACATTCAGCTAGTTACCTTCCACAACGGTATCTTGATGTGGTCTCTCCCTGCATGCCCTCATTAGTAGACACATTTTGAGGTTTGGGACCTACTCTTGTATCTTTTTACTATTTGGAGTTAAAGTATGCATTTGTCAAGCGCAGGTAAACCAGATTGTGTGTCCACCAGCCCTCCTTTTCCAAAACTGTAAAGTTTGTAAATAAAGAAATCTTGCAAATAGGAAGGTATGCAAAGGTCACTGAAATGTCAGCAATCACTGTTTGCTGTGCAGAGATCTGCTCTCAGTTATGGTATGGAGACATTGTTTGTGCAAAGAACAGGAGTTTCCAGACAGGCATCACACTCTCTGGATAGCCTTGTAACTCATCAACTCCTCAAAGGGATAGTACTCATGAGCACAGTCCCTATAATGTGCTCATGGGAAAAATCAGATACTTCCTATAGCTAAACAGCGCCAAAAATTCCTAAGCCTGATGTTAAAGTAGGCCAGGGTCCAAAAGACCTAGAGTTACATAGGTAACACAAAGAAGATTGAGGGAGGAGCAGAGCAGAAACCCCTTGCAGGGTCTCTGGAGTAGACCTCCCTACCTATGCCTCCCGCTGTTGGCTGACATAGGTGGTATAGCTCCTGCACAGCAGCCCTGGGTGAGCCTGCCTTCCCAACAGACTGGATAGGTGGCACCTCCCGTGGGTTGTTTTGCCAGTGACTGAAATTTAACTATTTTGGATTTCAATTGATGTTTAATAGTTAGGGTTGTCTTTAGGTTTGTATATTTGTTCACATTCCCTCCCTGTAATAAACCCTCTTTTAGTTGCATATTGCTTGCGAGTGGAGAACTCTCTCATTAGGAGGGTAGTAAAGCACTGGAACAGGTTACGCAGAGAAATTGTGCAATCTCCATCCTTGGAGATTTTTAAGACTCAGGATAGAATAATATAGTTGGGGGATGGTCCTGTTTTGACCTGAGTGAGGTCCCTTCCAACCCTAATTTTCTATGCTTCTATGATTCTAAACCACATCATTTTTTTTTTTTACACTGTGGCCACCCCTCATCATGTCAAGAATTCATTTCCATGTCTATTAAGACAATTATATGGGAAAGTCAATGAGACCTTAGGCATTTGCTTGAAAATGAGTTAGAACTGAAACCTTGCCAGCCAACGTCACTGCACAGTGGAGGAGTAATGATCTTTGGCAGAGGATCTGCACGCAGTTGGCACAGCTGCTTTAGAGGCAATTTGCATTTTTTATAGGAGCAAAGTCCAAGAAGTTCTTGCAACTTCCTATCCCTTGCTGAAGTGGCTTTGCCAAAGTTATGCGAGAAAAGGCATACCAAGACGAGAACAAAGTAGCAATCACTTCAAAAGCTTATCTGTGCTTCTATTCCTAACCCACTCCTGAGACATGATGATCCTAAGTTTTTCAGGTGACAGAAATTCAAGCTGGTTAGTCAGGTTAGCTGGCATAGCAACTTACTGTCAGAATTAACAAGACCCTACCATCTATAAACATTGTGTGTAGTGTGAAGGCTTCTGAACACCTCCTGCATGGACTTTGAAGGTCTCTCACCACTGGCCTGAAAGACCTCCCTCGTCTATTCCAGGACTTCCAAAATGTATGAATCACTAACAAGTTTCTCAGCCTGAGACAGAAATAAGGGATACCTGATTAGCCAAACAGGCTCCCTGTAGCAGGCTGCGGTCCAAGGCTCCAGCCAAGCTCTGAGCCGTAATGCTAATTGCAGGCTGCTCAGGAGGACTGGGTCAGCTGAGGGAGATAATTAGTGGTGGTCACAGGAAGCAAAATGCTTCCAGGGAGGGGAAGCCAGAGACAAGAAGAATGGAACGGGAAAGAGAGTGAGAGTATCCTGCCTGACCAATGGCTATAATACTAGACCAGGGACTTCCAGGATCTGGGAAGACACTCAAGTGCTGCAAGATTGGGAGCAGCATCATGGAAGGTAGCCGAGTTGCAGACAGCCTGAGAGGATAGACTGCAGCCAAGAAGGAGCAGCACTACCTTGTCAAGGGATGAAGAAGACTCAGACCTGTAAGTTAACCCTTTATCAACTGTGTTTGGGTTACAGTTTGAAGACTGACTGATATAGAAGGATGCCTATGTGACAGGTGTACCCTGGGAATACGGACTGTATTGTGTTTACGGACTGTTTGAGATGAGCAAATCCCTAAACCTGCTACAGTTCCATAAAAACAGCCCCTGCCCCCTTTGCCACTGGCAGTCACCCTCCTGCCTTTTGAAGGAAAAAAAAAGCCCTCTTCCAAAGCTCTTTCTAATGCAGAAGTCACAGAAAATTAGCTGTATCATTATGCATTCTTGTGCTCTGTTAAGAAATTGCTGCCTACAGACTCTAGTATGGCCTGTCTTGAAAATGAGTGGGGATTCAATGCACCCATTACAGTAGAAACTGAACATCCAAGCTCTTTTCCACTGGTTGTAACTTGCATCTGTGGCTGTTTTTGCTTCATTTTGGGTTTGTTTGTTTGGTGGTTTTGTTTTTTGGTTGGGGGGGGGGGGTGTTCTTGTGTTCATTTGTTTTTCCCCTTTAGTACTTTTGGGTTTTGCTAATGGTTGTCTTGTTTGGTTGGGTTTTTTAGGCCACACTTTACTTATCTTGCACTCTATATAGTTAATGGTTAAACATCTAATGCAAATGTGACTTGGGCTCCCAGAATTCCTTTTTCCCAGCCTGAACAAAGAATCACTGAAGTACAGAAAGAGAAGCACACATGCCATCAATAGTACTACTGCTGCATCAAGGCACGGACTTCAATCAACAGTAAATTTTTCACATGGCAGGAATTCGAACTGGTCAGTCCGGTTAGCTGGTTGTACTTTGCACATCATTAACTTTAAATGTAAGTGGGTGTTACATATTGTAAACTATTAATTGGGTTGGTTGGTTTTTGGTTTGTCTTTTTCTAGTTTGGTCAACTTCAGCCTACTTATTATTTGGTTGGGTTGTTCCTGTTTGTAAGCCATTGCTAATCTATTCACACTGTTCATTCAGTGAAGTTCTCTGCTTGTTGAACTACTATTGTATGTGTTTTACTGCCCAATTCTAATGAGGGGGGAAGACAGGCCATCCAAAAAATTTTTTGAAGTAATTTAAAATAAAGTAGTGCACATAGTTCACAGATCAATGCTGCCCTTAGTCCAACTTCACTAGTAAGGAAAGTACGTAACAGGAAAATTAACCTGTGAACCTCACCTACAAAACTCTTCATAGGTCAAGTGAACTACAGAACCCAACTATGGAAGACCTGTACCAGAAGCTAGCCCACCCACAGAAGTTTTTCACAAAACATAGCACCAGTTTAGGAAAGGGAACAGTGAGAAACTCCCTGCTACACAGCCACCAAAGCTAACTAGCATGCACAGAGCAAACCATCTACCCACAAAACTCCAGGAGTCAGATAGCCCAATTGTCCCACTATAGTAGCACAGTACCTGATAAGATTCTTCACCCATGTACCCCAGCCACTGACTCATCCTGAGCCAAGTGGTACAAATGAGCCAAGCAAAAGAGAATTATTTTGTTTTTTAAGTTTTCTTGTTGTGCCAACCAGAGCCCTACTAACACTATCATGCCAAAACCTCTAGACAGCATCAGAGGGCAAAGGACATGGCTAACTGAATAAGTTAAACAAAGTTCTCCTATCAGCCACTTCAGTAGGACCAAGAAGTCCCATACCCTTTGATAAAGAGGCCAATACAAAGACTAAGAGGCTAATTACTGTAATTAAGAAAGAACTGCAGACTAGCAGATAGGCACAAACTTAACCAGCATGGCTAGGGACAGAAATTACACACAAACTGGTATAAGTGATCAGAAACTAGTTCAAATCCATAATGCAACAGAAGTTCAATGCACATAAACCATTTGCAAAATGGCTGAAACCAATGTAAGATAAACCTGGATGGATGAAGTATCAAACTCAACTGATTTGGGTGAAACCAGTTTATTGAACTTCTGTCCCAGATCCCCTCCAAATTCAAGTTAATTCAGTCCCCCAGCATCCCAGAATACTTTGTGTCTCTCCCCCTAACTTCCCTCCCACCCCCTCAAGGTGGGTGAGCTAGCCTTGGCTCAAACTGTCTATTGCAGCTGAGCAGGGAGGTGTGCTTTAGCCCCTGGCACCTGCAGACATGTGGCTGCATTTCTGTAATCAAAAGTGAATGTCTGTTCACTTGCTTATTGGTTCAATCTACACAGCTTAGCATAATTCGCAAAGCCTGAATCAATTCAGCCTCAGGCTTGTTGACCATCTGTACTCAGCCTATGTGTACTTGAGGCATAAGCACATCTGGTATCCTTCATTTCCGTGTTTTGCTTGGAGCCAAGGCTCACACGGTTTATTGGGTACTTTCCAGCTGTGGCAAATGGTTATCACCACACTCAGCTGTGTCCTAGGTCTAATTTTTGTAAAAAAGCCTTGCAGACATTGTGCAATGTACATCAGACCATATTTGTACACACAGCGCTTCTAACATTTAGAGACATCCCCATCATCCCAAAAGCATGCTTTACCACCATTCTGCAACTGCTTACATGCATAATTGAGTGTTCTGTACAGCTCTACACTGTCAGGGTACCGTTCCACAAAGCCACATCAGGAGAGGGTAGGCAGCGCCCCCCCAAATGTACAGGTAGACATATGAGTTGCCTACATATATGTGCTGGTTCATGTTCTAATTAGAAGGCATCAAGGCAAGTTAATCAAGTTTGCTCCACATTCTAATTAAAATGCTCTATCGTGGCTTCACTGGCACGTGGATAAGCCCCCATGGGTTTAAAAACAGCCAATGGGGTGATTTATCTAAATCTTGTCAAATAAAGTTTAAGTAAAATGTCCCATAGCCATTTTTAAACATGCAGGGGCTTAATACTCATGATGGTGAGGTATTTTAATTAGAGCAGCTCTCTGGGAACCACTCTAATTAAAACACCCCCTACCCAGCCTCCAAGCATGTGTATAAGCAACCATGTATTCCATTGATATCCATACTGTTAAGAGGGAATAAAGCTCCAACAGGCAAGAAGCAGAGTTCTGAAGAGATCAGGCATTTACTTGCTTGGATACACTGGATCTTTATCCAAGCAAATAAATGCCTGATCTCTTCAGAACCCTGCTTTTTGCCTGTGATGCTTCTGTTCAGAAACCTCTTCCTGTGGTCTACTAGATCCTGCTGTACTAGGAAGTAGCTTCCCCTTACAGCAGGGGTGGGCAAAATGCAGCCTGCAGGCTGGATGCATCCTGCCAGGTCATTCTATCCAGCTCACGGGGTCCCTAAAAAAAATATAGAAAATTAATATACATCTGCCCCTGGCTGCCTATCATGCGGCCCCCGATGGCTTGCCAAAACTCAGTAAACGGCCCTTCACCTGATATAATTGCCCACCCCTGCCTTACAGCCAACATATTTCCTTGCTCCTTCACAAAGGCAGACTATGGGTACATGTACCCTCAGTGATCCCAGTCCAGTTTGAGCACTCTCTGAAAACCAGTTATTGCAAACAAATCCTTCAATCCTATCACACAGCAATAAAAAGTTTCACTATGACAGCCCCAAACCTCCACCGTCCCCAGAGTTCAACAGTTGCCATAGCCAGGCCAAAACCTGCTAGCCATGGATCTTTACTAGTCTGAGGTAGCGAGTTTCCAGACTGCCTGCAATGGCAACACACTTCCATAGAACCACAGACTCTTCATCACCGCACTCTGATGCTGGTGTTCTTGCACTGGGCCAAAAGTTCATGAAGAAATTTTGAAACAAGAGCCGTTAATCCTATTTCTGCAAAGCAATGTGATGCCACACTCCATGCAAGTTCTCTTGCCCTAGGAGAATGCTCCCACAATGGACCCAAGGCTGATATACTCCATTATAACTGTACTAAACAGTAGGGCTGTGTGGAATTTCGCCAGCTGTTTCAAGCTCGAAACAGCGAAACCAAAAACGAAATGAAGGGCTTCGAAACAGCCTCAAAACTAAACGAGGGCAGTTTGAAACATTGTGAGTTTCGAAGCTGAAGTTGGGCTTGCCTGCAGGGAAACAAAAAGTAAGGAGAGGGAGGTGGAAGAGTGGGGAAGGACTGCTCTGATATTGACTGTGTAGCTAGCCAGTGTCTGTGATCCTTCCCTGAGGTCCCTTCCAATCCCAGTGCTCTGGGGGAGGGATAGAAAAACAGCATAAAAGGCAGCGTTGTTTAAACTGGCCTACTTTCTGCCTTGGGGTCAGTTACTGAGCTATCTTCCAGAAGCTCAGCAGCATTAGACAACAAAGGCTACTACCATTGATTTCCTACTTGCTAGCCTAGCAAGTGGGATTCAGCAATTCCTTTTGCTTTCTTTCTATCCCCTTTTATTTTTTTATTATATTCACTGATTGATTACTTTATTTATTCCTCCCCCCAAAATCCTCTTTTTGTTTAGTCTATTTTGATTCTTTTCAAATCTTTGCTCTCTCTCACAGTATGCATTCCATTCACTGTGCAGGGAAGCACAGCATAATTATATTGCATATTATAATATGGAATTTATATAGGAAAACACAAACATACATTTATAGATTTTTATCTTATTTAGTACATAAATATATACAAACAAACATATATACATTACACAAATATACATACATACACTTATCTTAATATCTACATATATTACATAAATCAGATAGATAACATTACAGAAGAAGAGACAGATTTTCCAGCACACTAAGGCAAAGACAAGACACAAAGAAACATACCATGAAGCATGCTGGAAAGGCACCTGGCAAGCTTTCAGGGAGGGACAGAAGAAGGGGTAGAAGGAGAGCTATAAGTTCCTCCCCTCCCCCCCAAACTAAGACTTAGCCTCTTTACTACATCAAAAGGCATGAGGCTGGCTGCAGTGGAGATGTGAGGCTCCAGGTGAGCTCAGCTTAACTGCCTGGGATGCCAGCTTTTGGGCTGAGACACCCTTTGTCAGGCTGAGGAAGCACCTGCAGAGAGAGAGAATGTGTGTGTGTGTGTGTGTGTGTGTGTGTGGGTGTGTGTGTGTGTGTGTGTGTGTGTGTGGGTGTGTGTGTGTGTGTGTGTGTGTGTGTGGGTGTGTGTGTGTGTGTGTGTGTGTGTGTGCGCGCGCGCGCGCGCGCGCGCGCGTTGTTCCTGGATGGAAGGAATAGTAAAGAAGCTAGAGGCTGGCATGCAATGCAGGCAAGAAAGCCAGTCAGGGAAAATGGCATCAGAGGGTGAGGGACAGGCTGTGTCAGAATTCCAATATCTATATTGAGTCCATGAGTTTCTGTACCTACTATCTAGGAGGTTGATGAAGTGCAGTTATAGGCTCGTCTGTAAAAAGTGGTTGAACTGGCACCCATCTCCTTGAAACTTGGCATGCCCCAATTCCTAGAAGGGCTCTATTTGGCCTGATACGAGAGATGCACACTCAGGACATACCAAACAATGTGGACAGCTCTGATAGGAACTGTAAGATGCATTATAAGCAGGAAGAAAGCATGTCAAGAGAGCCAAGGTGTTTGCACCCACACCTAACTTCTAGTGAGAAAAGGTTTTATCTTGTTTTCCAAAAAGATTTAAGAACCTGTTAACATACCTATTTAAATGTTAGGATTTTGCTATTAGTGGGTAAATTTATCTTTCAAATAGCAAATTTTACTCTTGTTTTGTCTTGACAGTGTATTGTGCATAGATGAAAATATGTACATGGGGACAAGTTAAACAAATATGGAACTGCCAAGTTGAAAAACATGATGTTTTGCTGACATCTCTGATGAAATTCTTTCCATTTGGGATAGATTTTCAGAGGCAGCTTGGATTGCAAGGCTCAATCCAGCCTCTAGCTAGTTATATTAGCAGTACAGCATAGAATACAGAACAACAGTTAGTTATGCAGAAGAAAAATGGCATGGAACAAGCAACTGCCAGGTTTAATGTTAAATTTCTTTAGACAGCTCTGCCAATACACACCTCTTGTGCAAAAAATGACTGCAAGGATACATCTTCACTATATAGTTAACCCAAGGTCTTTTTCAGGTTTTAGTCCAACACTCTCCACTCCATGCCAAGACTAACAAATACAAACAAAGGTACTCTCTCCTAACCAGATTTAAAACCCTACTATCCCTCACTGGGGGTCTAGATTAGAACCTAGCCTCTGCTTTTACTCAAGCAGTACAAACACAAACTAAATGATTTAGTTTTGACAGTCCTCCACTGCCCTTCCCGCAATTCCTCCAACCCCTCAAAAGGGCACACAAGATTTTCCACAGCTGACTGGAAAAAAAAAAAAAAAAAATCACAGCAAAGTATGCCTGCAGAAAGAACCATGGGATAGTCTCACCCAGACATACCTCTGAAGGGAGATAGAGTAAAAGATGCAGATTTACAAATTTACTCTGAAGATGCTTGGCTAACCTGGGTACTAAATGATCAGGTAACTGCAGGGAAGGCACAGCCTAATCAATGCTTCAAACCAGTGCTTGAAAAACACACTTGTGCTAACGGTGAGTAAAGGGCCTAGTGAATTTAGAGGCTTCAGCTGTGTATCTATGAACAATTTTACTTTCCCTTAAAACGGTAAGTTTCTACCTCTTAAAATTAAAAGTAACCTTAGCAAGTGAAAAGAGAAGCATTTGCTGTCTCCCATGCTTTCATGCAGACTGCTGATAGAACTCACTACTTTGCAGGGCAGCAGGAGAAGAAAATTAACAAGGCTGATCATTTGTACTGCTGATACGCAGAGTGACTGTCAAATCATACCAATTTCATATTTCCGGCAGCTTTCCCAGAGCATCAGCAGAAGCAGAGCCAATCTGGAATTATGTTCATGAGAAAATGAGGAGGAGTATGGACAGATTTCCTCCCACTGCTTGCACAGATCACTGCATAGTGAACTCCAAGCTTATAGAAACATCTCTCCTCCTCCTCCCCAAAATAAAATAAATAATCACAACAAACCCATTCTAACTAATACAGACACATACATCTTACCAAAGTGTCCCATTAGAGTATCAGCATTCTGGACTTGCACATGCTGCACAACACAGCCCAGATATGAATAGTGTTAAAGAATATTTAAGATCCTGTGGTCTTATCAATTGACTAATAAAGATATCAGACTTTTGGTTATTTCAAATACATGGTTAATGGTGATTTTTATACAATTTTATATTGAATCTTGTGCTCTTTGTGCTACAAATACTTCTGATAATTCCATAACTAAGCATAACCATGCTACAATTTTACTTTCTAAACACTATTTCCTACTGTTTTTGCACTCAATGATGCATAGTTTTTAGTAAGCATGCAGTATAAACCTGATGTAAAAGTTCTCTGACAAATAAGGAAATCATTGAATACATCATAAACAGAGAAAAACCAACAGATTATAAACACGGATGCCTTAGTCATGCAGGCACACAGTCAGGACATCCAAAACAAACAACGAAAGAAAGGGCAATGAAACTTAGTTTAGCCATTCAAAACAAATCATAAATGACACTACAATGGCACTTAGTTCAAACACTGAATTCCTTGGCATGAAAATACAGCTGAAAGCCTTCCAGAGCTAATGCCTACTATATTTTCCCGAATAGCTTTTTGCACCATATCCCTGTATTATGTAATGAATCCAACTTTAGTCATAAGTAAGTTGGGTGGAAAAGCTAAGAAATCACCTCTCTCATATTAAAATAGAGGAAGAAAAAGAACAAACAAATGTATATACAAATGATCAATGTACAGTTGTAAATATAAAACAACAACATTAAAATTATCACCCCGTCTCCATTCAGCAGAAGCTCAAGTGATACACTACCATCTACTCCAAGATTTAAAAGCCTCTCCAACCTCACAACTTTCATCAAGTGTCTCCCCTCCCACCTTGGCTACTGCCAACTCCTCCTAACAAACTTGCCTAAGACCTATCTTGACCATGTCCAATCAAGGAGTAGGATCATAGGAAAGTCGAGTTAGAAGAGACCTCAAAGTCATCTAGTCCAGCCTGCTGCTCAAGGGGGGGGGGGATCATCCCCGACTACACCACCCCAACTAAGCCTCTTCAACCTGCTCTTGGTAATTTCCAAGGATGGGGACTCCCTAGCTCCTCAAGGCTCCACCACCACAGTCAAAAAGCTCATCTCCAACCTAAAGTTTCACCTGCCGCTGCTGGAGGCTGTTGCTCCTAGTCCTGTCCCCTTGGGCCACAGAGAAAAGCCCATCTCCAACCTCTCTGTAACCTCTCCTTGGGTATTTGAAGATGGATATCAAGCCCCCCCCCACTAAATAACCCCTAGTCCTTGCAGCCTTCCCTCCTGCGCCTGGCTTCCTCAAATCCTGTGTGCTGCAAGTCGCTGGACTCTTTCCAATCCCTCCATATCCTCCCTAAAGCAGAGGGAGGATTTCCTAGAAGAGGGCGGAGATTTTTTAAACGGACCTGGGATGCGGCTGGGAGCAAGTCAGAGCAGCTTGGGCAATGCAAGCCCTTCTTCCCAGAAGCCTGCCTGGCTGCATCCCAGCGGCACAGCCGGGCCAAAGATCTCCCCTTAAGAAACACCTCTCTGAACGACTGCAACACCCAAACGCAGCCTCCCCTCCTGCACGCGGAGCACCCCAGCTCCTCCGCCCCGAGCCGGGCAGGGCTGGGACTGCACGATCCAGCCCTGATTTCCAAGCAGCTAGCAGCCACGGGGCGGGAACACCAGCGCCGCCTCCGCTCCAGCCGGCCGCGCTGAGTCGGCCCTGGCGGGGCCCCGCCCCCTCGGACACGTGCGGGTGCTGAGTCACCCCGCGCCGAGCTCCGCGCTGCCCCGCCGGGCCCGGGGGTCACCTGGGGTCAGGCCTCCGGGCCCGAGCGTCCTGCTCCGCTCAGCAAGCAATGCAGCGCTCTGGGCTCGGAGCTGACGCCTTTTCTTCGACCCACTAAGACATCGCAAAAAAAATAAACAAACATTTCTGCACGTTTTCAGGCACACGCGCCCTTCCTCAGGCTCAGGGAAAATTAAAGACAGTAAAAAGTCCTCGTAAGTAGAAAAAAAATTGCATTTTTTTTTTTTGCAGTGTCTTAGTGGGTGGAATAAAATCATCTCTGAACCAAGAGTTCTAGAGTTTTGCAAGTCTTTTCGTCTCCAACCAACATGGCTACCAAGTACATCCCTGCTCCTCTTCTCCTTTTTAGCGGAGAGCAGTGATGCTCAACTGGGGGTTGCATTGCCACAGCCTGGGGTGCAGTGACAGCCCGTCGGGGTACACCGTGCGGTACCTGTTAGTGTTGTCAGAAGTACAATAATTATTGTATTTGTAGGATAATTCCAACCCTCGGACAATGTATGATCGATAATAGGCAACGTGCTCAAAATGCACGATAATTTTGGAAATACGGGTTGCAGCTGTGTTGGTCCACAGGCAAAAGCAATCGGAACTCTTGGTAGAGGTAATATTTTTTTATTACATCAACTAACTAGATAGTTGCAGAAAAAAAATGGAGACAGCTAATTGACGCAACAAATGCAATACTCAAATCGCTCTCAGGGAGACCAAACTGACTTGAAAAAAAATTTATTATTATTAATGTATTTTGTGTTCCAGGTTAAATCACCTAAATCAGTTCCAAATCATACCAATAGAGCAGAGCTCAATTGTTCCAAAACCCATACCAATTGAGGACTCAATTGCTCTAAAAACCACGTGTGGTGCTACAACCTGTGAGTATTCTCCATAGCAGGCTCTCACCCTGGGACTTCCGATACTCCCCAATCCATTGGCAGGCATTCTAGTGCAGGCCCAAGCCCAGAGGTCTTGGCATTCAGCTGAAATCACTCAGGAAAACTAAACTAACCTTAGGGTTTGTTGTCAGCACTTCCTTATGACAGCTTACCTCAAAATGAAGAAATGTTTCAACTATGATGAACCAGTTCTCACTCACTGACGTGTTACAGTGAGCAATATAAAGTAAATAAGACTTATTTGCATACTTATTTGGAAATTTTTTCAGTATACAATAGTTTTTCAGCAAATGCAATAATTTTGAGCTTCCAATATGATAATTCTATATTGAAGATGTTGGTATCAGCCCTGTCATGTGTGCTGCCTCAGGCAAATCTTGAACAGAGTGATGTCATACCTTCTTGATAGAAGATCCAATGACCCCAGCTGACTTCCTGCCCTTTGGGCAGGGGGGTGGACTCTATGATCTTACGAGGTCCCTTCCAGCCCTAATGTCTATGAAATCTATGAAACAGTGGTTCTCAAAACTTTTTTGTACCAGGACCCATTTGCAAACACTGATGGCCAGTCTCAACCCGGTGCCCCTCACTCCCAGCTCACTGCCCCCCAGCCCTAGGGCCCAGCCCCCCAGTATGTGGGGAAGAGGGTAGGTATGTGGGGCAGGGGGAGACCAAGCAGCCCCTGGCATGCTGGAACACTGCCAGCCTGCAATGGAAATGCTATGATTTCCCACAGATTTTTCCTTTAAAGGAGAATCCTTTTTAAAAATTTGAGGCCCTTTCATATACAGGTTTCCCTCGATTTATGTGGGTTCGATTTATGCATATTTGCTCTTATGCGATGACCCTTTTTATACCTGAAATTCATTATATGTGAGGTAAATTCACTGTTATACTATCAGCATAGTTGCACTCCCTCCTCCCCCAAGCAAGTAAGTCTGAGAGGGGAGGGGAAAGGGCTGTGGGGCTGGGGCCCCACTCACCGCAGCCCCTGCTGCAGCTGCTCTGGGAGCGGCTGATGTCAGTGGTTTGTAGCTGCTGGGCTGCACCATGCCCCAACCCCCCCAGGGCTCTACTACCCCTGGGACACCATGCCCTGAATCCCCCGGCGCAGGGCAGCATAGCCCAGTGGCTGCAAGCAGGCAGCATCCGCTGCTCCCAGGACTGCAGCAGGGGCAGGCAGCCACCTGCAGTGGGACAAGAGTGTCTGCCGCTCCCGGGGTGGCACCAGGCTCTTTGCGATGCTCAGGGTAGGTGGCAGCCCCACTCACCCCACTGCTCCACTTCTCTCCACTTGCTGCAGCTCCTGCTGCAGCAGCCCTGGGAGCAGCCGACACCAGCTGCTTGCAGCCACTGGGCTGCACCATGCCCTGAACACCCCACCATGGTGCAGACCAGCGGCTGCAAGCAGGCAGTGTCTGCCGCTCCCAGGGCTACAGCAGGGACAAGCAGCAGCCTATAGCAGGATGAGAGCGGGCTGGGGACGGTGGCCACTACAGGCTGGGACCGGCAGCAGCACCAGGCTCTTCCCAGTGCTCAGGGTGGGCTGCAGCAATGGGAGGGGGGCTGCTGCCACCCCAAAATTTGCCAGAGCTCCCCACAATCTGCCCTCCCAGTACTGCTGCCGAGCGCTGGGAAGAGCATGGTGCCGCCGCCAGCCCCAGCCTGCAGCGGCCACCAGCCCCAGCCCACTCTTGTCCCACTGCAGGCTGCTGCCCTCCCTTGCTGTAGCCCTGGGAGCGGCAGACACTGCCTGCTTGCAGCCGCTGGGCTGCATCATGGTGCGGGGTTCAGGGCACGGTGCAGCCCAGTGGCTGCAAGCAGCTGGAGTCAGCCACTCCCAGGGCTGCAGTGAGTGGAGAGAAGTGGAGCAGCGGGGCTGCCACCCACCCTGAGCATCGCAAAGAACCCGGTGCCACCCCTGCTGCAGCCCTGGGAGCAGCAGACACTGCCAGCTTGCAGCCGCTGGGCTGCGCCATGTCCCTCTGCCCGCCCCTTCCTTAGCCCCAGCCTCACTCACTCTCTCCCTCCCTCACCACCGTGGGAACACATCCCTATCTGTTTCATTGAAAAATGGGTTTGCTTCATGTGAATTTGATTTATACACTGCTCCTGGGGAATGCATCTACCACATAAATTGAAGGAAACCTGTAGTCTCGAGACCCATAGGTTGAGAAAAGCTGATCTAGAACACTGAGGAGGGATGAAGGTCATCATCAACACTGGTACTGGGGTCTCCATGGAAATCATCCACAGCGATGCAAGCAGGGGCTGCTGCAAAATACAGTCCAGCTGCTGGCCAGATCCACCATTATGTCCACTGCTGATCTAAGGGGTCCATGAAAGATGACTGATGAACCAAATGTGTCTTTGACTGCCACTACTTATAGTGCAGACAGAATAAAGCACTCCTTAATAAGTGAAAGAGGAAATTGTATTAAATAAAGAAAAGTTGCTGAATATGGATTTCAGCTTTTCATGAAGTGAAAGCTGAACTGGCATTTTCTGTGGGGTGCCTAAAGTCTAAAAATGATAAGAGCCAGTGGCTTAGAGACCAGCTAGTGCCACCCTGCTCTACCCTCTGGTTAACCTCAGACTAATATAACTGACCACCTCTCAAGTTTTAGCTTTCTTCCTTGTCCCAGGTTTAAGGCTGCCATCCCTTCCCACTCTCTGTGCCCATCCCAACCAACCTGATTTGAAGTCAACATCTATCAAAACACACTGTCCATGAAAAACAATCAGGCAGTTTTAGCAAAAGACAAATGTTTCATTACCCTAAAGCAGTCCCTATAGCCTGCACATGCTGAGCTCTGGATCACATTTGTGTGGGCTCCTGCCAAGGTCCATTTCCAAAGGTTGTTGGTTTTACATTCCCTATTCAATGTTTCTTGTCACTTCATGGGTCAAGGAAGCAGGCCTCTCTCTCCTGTATTAGGCTGGCCACTTTTTTTTCTGTCCTTTGTTTGGTGCTCTTCTTTAACCAGTTCCAATCATGATACACAATTCCACCTAAGGAAGGTCAGGCTTCTCCAAACATCTATCTGCCTTCAGATTTGTACCCCCTTCTCCAAATGTTAATCTCCCCTTAGCTACACAGAGGATACATATAGCACTTTGTATAGTCTATCTGCTTATAGGATCTAGCACACCTACAATATTTCCTTGTTTTCCAAAATCTCATACTGTCACAACCATGTTTTCAAAGTCTTATTCTGGAGCACTTTTAGGGCCCTTTGTTTTTCAAGTCTTGACAAAACCATCATTCAAAAGACAAAAATACACTTTAAAAAAGGGCACACCC